AACCTTAAAGTAGAATGTACACTGTATCCATATTCTGTAAATTGAATTGCATAATGCAGGCGTTTAACTCTTTGGCATACCATTTAACTCGGAAGAATCCGGGCCCAAGCGATGCGCTCGAATGGTCGGGAAAGGAGCCGAAGCAGCGGAGACAGAGTGTCATTCATACTTGGCTCGAGATTAAGACCACGAGTTCGGTTCGTGATATTTATGTTTAGTTCAAAATGTCGATTACGAGTCAATCTTGTCAAAATATAACAAGATGTTAATAATAATATATGACACCTATGATGTAAACATTGAGATTACGTTTGCAATAATAGAGATTTATTATATAATAGACTGTAAATTAATTATTATATAATTTCTGTATGATTCAGGGTTACCAGAATAATTATCTTGTCACTGGAGTAAGACTGATTCAATTCTTCCATGCCTCATTCATATCGTTATACTCGCAAGTGAGAGTCTCACAGAGTCGTACAGAGTCTCACAAACATTGTAAGAACTAACAGACGGAAAAATACAAAACTTCCAAGTGACGTACAAACTTAGTCACCCATAAATTTCACGGGTTTGGACACGTCTTTAATGAATATTACACGGGAGGTGGTCGCCTGAGTTTCAGAAATCGACGATTTCCTGGCTTCTCCGGCTATTACGAAATACAACTTCAATTACGGTGCGCGCTCCCCTATAATAACTGCGCACGTAACAGAGGGATGGTGTGGAAAGATCACTTTAAACTCTACCCTCACGGGGAAAATTATTTTCTGCCGTAGATGATTAAGCAACAGAGTTGGGCAATATCTTAATCCAAATTAAAATTTCGAACAACGATAAAAAGTTATACTTTTGCTTTAGATAACCTTATACAGGGTGTCCCAGGTATACTTTTCAATGTCTTAGAGGGAGTAACTTAGCCCAAATGAGACTAAAAGTGTCTCACCGCTTAAAATTTCGAAACATATAGTTAAGACTTCATGTATAATAGACAGGAAGTACAGATAAAGGTAATATTTATAAATGGCCTTACTTTCTGCAGGCCCTTTATGGAAAGTTAAGCAAACTGGGAAGGTCAAAAGGCACCGTGACTGAAAGATCCAAAGATCACAAATCTTCGAGTCCCGCTTACCTGGTCTCTATTTTTCAAAGATTTCTACAATTATGGTTAAAAGTGAATAACACATAACCAAATTATCTATACAGTAGTGGCCAATAAAGTTGCACCCCACCTTAAAGACACAGTTTGTCGAATATGTAGGTACATACATTGCAAACTTTGTAAGTAGACTAAATTGTTTTATTAATTATTGGGTATGAAAATTGCAGACAAGAAGTCTAAAAGTAAGAAGGAACTTTAAGAACTGATCACGTGTGTATGGAGATCACGAACTTGATAATGATTTCTTTAAAAAATTAGGTGCAAAGCAGTTATCAAGGCCAGTGGAGGTTCTACAAAGTACTGAATCATCTCACAAGGAAGTTTGCCAACCCGGAGACGCCGATTTCAATGAAACTTCGTTCGTTTGTTAAGCAAGCAAAAACAAGGGAAACGTATTTTTTTTATCGGCTAATATTCACTCTAAGGAGGTGAAACCACCACTCAAAGTTTCGACCCAGAAATACTATCTCGAACACATGAAAATTTCTAATGGGCGAGTTTTATGGTTTTTCATGTACAATAATATGGTGATAAAAAATTGTCCAAAATACAATTTGTATATCACAAAAAAAATTTTTATAACTTTATTTTACAACTTATTCATATTTGCATAATGACAAAAAAAATATATATTTCTTTCTTTTGCAGTTTCATAGGTCTTTTAATATTATTCACTTTTCTCATTAAAAGTTTTTTCCTGTCTCTTACGGTTAACAAGATATACTGAAAAAACGAAAAATTCGGCAAATTTTGAGGGGTGATTTCACCCTCTTAGAGTGAATGTCGGCCGAAAAAAATCGTGCACCGAGTGTCACTTAATGGTTTCAAAGTTACATTTTGAATATTCTTTTTTAACATAGTCCATCTATATGGAGAAGCAGAAAAACAAGTAAATAATTCTTGAACAATATCGAAAAATCCAACGGTTTCTTTATTAATGCTTACGGCATCATTAAGAACTAGGTTTAGACTATGTGCTGCACATGGTACAAATGTTGCTCTGGGATTAACATGTAAAATGCTCTTCTGAAGTCCTGATATGCTTACCCCTCATGTTGGCTCCACTGTCATAACCTTGCCCACGGATATTTTGCACATCAAGATTAAATTTTTGCAACAATTCATTAGTAAGGTAGTTAAATAAACCTTCGCCAGTGGTATCAACTATTGGAAAAAAACCAAGAAAATATTCTTCTATTTTTACATTATTTTTTTTACAATTCACACATCGGACAATAAACGTGATTTGTTCGACGTGACTTAAATCTGGGGTGCAATCAAGAATAACAGAAAAATGTTTCGATGTGTTTATAGTAGTTGTTAATTTTTTTGTTACAGCTGTTGCTAATAACTCAATGATTTCATTTTGAAAATGTACCCCCAAATAATGTGGCATATAACTTTTTCTTTGTTTTGATGTCTGTACATTTTTTACGTGCTCTGCTGTTATCGGATCGAATTTAGCTAACATTTCTACAGCTTTCATAAAGTTTTCATTGTTGGGATGGTATAACTCGGTGGACTCGCCGCGAAATGCTAAACACTGACTAGATAAAAATTGAATAATGGCTATCATTCTTTCAATAATAGCGTGCCATCGTTTTGTTTCCTTTTCATAATATGTTTGAAGATTTTTATCTATTGTGTAGTTCTTTTGCATTCGGAATTTTAATTCACACATCTTACAATAAGACGCCTTTAAGCTGTTTTCAAGACGTCATTAGTCTGTAACCTTTATTATATATTTATATATATATATATAAAACGTTGATTCGTTTGACAATTCGTTAGAGCTTCTACTATTTTATATGCTCCGCCTGATCTGAGGGCGGTTACTCTACTTCCTACCTCGGATGTCTGACTGAATCGCGTAGGAAGGCAGGGTTCGTGCCTTCGGGCACAGAAGGACCACGAGTGGACTAGGTACTTGTAGAGAATGGCACACAATTCTGGTAAAATTGTTCTATATTCTGTTATGCCCTTATTACACGAGAATATACGACTCCGGTTGCGCGACGGTTTCGCGACACAGTTCGGGATTCGCGTGGAAATCCGCACGCACGCTATGCACAGTGTGCACTACACACTTTCACTGTTATATTACCGGCGATTACTCGTTCCGCGGACCTAGCTAGAGATGCCTTGATATCTGTCGCAGCAAGTGATGGTCCTGCCGATACTTCGGGAGGACTTCTCACGTGGAGACACACACAAAACCTCCGTCAGCCCGCGATGCAAAAGACGTCGATGAGAGGTACAATACTGTGGCCCCTGCACCGATTTCCTGCACCGGTAGACAAACGTCGATCGTGCTCAATCTTACACTCTGTTTGGGAACGAAGCCCCGTGACTATACGTAGCACAGTCCTCGGAACCTACGCTCCCGATGCATATGTCTGTCAACCGATGATTCTCCCGAGTACACCGGAGAACTTCTCGGTTGGAGACGCGTACAAAACCTTAGTTAATCCGCAGGGCATAAGATACGAGAGACAGATACGCAAGCGTGGTCCGACACTCGTTTCCAGCACTGGTAGAGAAACTCCGATCGCACTTACGCTCCTAGCTACACTCACTCGCAATGCCGAACGGAATTGCGAGAAGGAAACTGGCAGAATGCAATGGGCAGGCTGATCAGTCACCTCTTCGCTCGCTCGAGATTGAGAGTGATTTCCCCCTTTTCCTCGTATGACCGGAACTATAACAGTGGCAGTTTGCTTTTAAAACTTATAATTAAACGATAAACGAATCTCGCTTATGGTAGAGTTAGTTCGATTTTATATGAATATATATATATATATATATATATTTACTTGGTGTTTATTACACGTCTTTCTTTGACTTTTGTTGTTTTCTTATTAGCTTTCTGTTGAATGTCACACTCACGGTGTGTCCTCTGATACTGCTTATGGTTACGTTTCGTTTCTTCCTAGTAGTTTGTAATAATAAGATTCTTTTACTACGTTGAATTTAATTTAAATTAATTATAATTGCTGTGACGTCTACGCTGGGCTTCCAGAAGCCTTATCCCGGGTTGGATCTCGTTATAGCAGTTCAGAGGTGCGCACTGGTGAGGATGGCTAAAGACGCTTTGCTTTGTCTCCTCATCGAACTGACTCCGCCACACTAATTAGTTTTGCTTAACGGACTCTATTCCCTATTTGCGACTAATCTGGATCGCTTCCAGTCGTAGAGTGACGATCTACCGGCTCGCATCGACCTCCTTCGATTATGATCGAGTGGGGATCGATGCGTGCGCATCCGCGGTGACTTAGTGGTCGCGGTCTCGCCGTTCTTCGTTAGCGCTCGGGAACGCTCGTACAACGCTCGCGGATCTTATGACAACAGCTAAGGTGGGAAATTCGAATAGTATCGAGCTCTCCTCACTCCTATGTAAGCGTTTAAATAAGGTGCAATTTGAACGGTTACAAGTCGTCATATGCAATCTGGGATTCGACTTTGAAGGTCATTGAAGATTATTTATTGCCGTTCGAAACTTATTTTTGTTGAACGTTCCAGATTTCTTTTACCGGAATATTTCGTCGCTTCGTTTGTAAACATCGTTACTTATGTAGTACAATATATCCTCGATGAGTGTTCGAAGGCTCGTCGGCATTGACACAGAGAGGTCCCCAGGTGTAACGCTGACTTTTTAATGAGGTTTAGCATAGCGATAGAGTTTGTAATTCTGAAGTCAATGATATTTGGTTCCGCCGCATATGGCCATTAGTTTATGAAATATTTAATGTTCTATGCCGAGAAGCCTTCGGACACTCATCGGGGAATTAATGTAGTTTCTGTTCGATCTTCTAATCGAGATAACTTTTTCATGTAGATCATGCCGACCGCTGCCCAACCAGATTCCGGGACAACCGGATCGGTTATACCAGATGATGGCGTGAACACCTTCCGGAAATGGAGGCAGCTGGGAGGCGACGTGATACGGGACGGTAAGTTTCATTACCGTTGACATTTCTAACCAGTCGACTAATTTCATCCCTGGGAACTGGCACGAAAAACTCGTTGAAAATTCGTCCTTTTTTTCATTTCTGTTCCAACCCCCGTCTTTTTATCCCTTCATTGTGTCGCGTGTTGCGAGCCCCGTTGAAGCGAGAGCCCAACGGGACCATGGGTTTCGCACGGAGTAGACCTGTGCAAACGGAACAAACCCGCATAAATACCGCTCACGTTCTTTTTTTTTTTACTTAATTACTGTCGGGGTCGCATTTAACAGGGAAACGGTGGCGCTCGCTGCGGGAAAGTGAGACCCCGACACATACACAATCGCGAAACGACGGATTTTCGTTCCTTTTACGGTGGGTAGCTCTATAAAAGGCTGCGTAATTTGTTTGAAATTATGGAAGACAACTATAATTCATTCAGTTTACTGGGACGTGAAATGCGTTTGTAATTCAAATGTAGTTTTAGACGCAAAGGTAGCGCGAGTAATTGCCGTTTCTTTAGGTCACGAAAGTGCTTTTGTACAGTAGTTTTTGACACGATTGTCGTAATTAAGCGGTCATGCTCAGTCAGGAGGCCGAAAAAAGAGTGTTCTTTGGGAATTTTTTTCTCGAAAACTATAAGACCTTTTTCAAGAAATGTGTTTGTGTTTCAAAGATTGCAGTTTATAGATTATAAGGTAATTGTTTTATTTAAAAATATTTATTAGTAAATAAATGGTGAGCAATCTCCCGGATGTCTCTTCACAATAAGTAGTCTGCCGTGATCACTGTAACTTCGTAACGGTTCATCTGAAATTAAAAATTCAGTATGATTTATGTAATGGAAGAACCAATCTTGTCCTTGAACGTGAGGTTTTTCGAAATATTGATTAGTAACAAAATGGCGGACATTTTCCTGAAAAAGTGCGATTTTCACCTAAAAGTTACTCGTTATTGGTCAATTAAAAAAAAAAGTATGGAATGAAAAAAAATCCTTCGTTCAAGGACAAGTTTTTCTGATTTGAAATAAGGCGCAAAAGGCTTCATGTAAATCGACACAGTAGTTTTCGAGAAATATTGATCACCGATTTGAAAAATGTAGTTTCGAGAAAAACGCGTTTAAAGTTTCAAGTCAAGCTTACACTTATATAATATGTTCATTTTTTAACGCCTGTAACTCTGTCATTTTTAATTGAATTACCATGAAACTTGCACAGAATATTCTCGAGATGTTGTACTTAAAAAAAATGCAGAAAGTGAAAAATCGATTTTTTTGAAAATTCCTGACTGAGCATGATCCTTTAAGGACTTCGCAGCAAGAGGGTGGCACATCCATTTCGGACAAATTTTTCGTTAATATGCGTAATATGCGTACAAAATATTCTATATTCGTTTGGTGCAAGCCGGGTTCAGACTCGATGAAAAAGAAACGATGCACTACAGATTCTGGACCTGCCCCCATTACTACTTTGTGCGGTAAGAATGCAAATCCGGACCTGCTCTCTTCCTCTTTATCTGCTTTCTTTACATAAATAATTTTGTATTTCTGATTCCTTGGATAATGGACAACATATAGAAACGGAATGGTACCTTCATATAGAATATGAATATAGAAATATGGAAAAATATAATCAACATATAGAAATATGGAAATCATATAGAATAATGTTTACTACATAGGCTGTGGAAATTTATGCAAATTGACAGTTTCAGATACTAATATCTAAAAATTATAATGGAGCAGAATTTTGAATTCTCTGTTAGATGCTTTATTACGTTCACAGTAATACATAATAGTATAAATTTTTATTAAAATCTTTATTTTATTGCATTTCTCAAGTTAAAAGATGCTATAAATGCATAAACATCCGTAGTTTATTCATTAATAGTTTGCGTGTTTGGCAAACCATAAATTTGGCCACTATTTATCATTCTCCTTTGAAAAAATTCGCCAAAAATTAAAACAAAGACTTATCAACTTAATAAAGAGTTTGTTCTTTTTTTAATGTTAAGTCATAGCAATAATTTAATAAGCAGTTTTCTTTAATTTCCATAAAGTTGTTAAAAATGAATCTACTGTCCTTTTGCTGCAAGGTCTGTTATTCTTACCGAAACTCAGAGGATCGCTATCTGGCACAATTGGTGCTCTTGAGTACCGATTAGTTAAATATGTAAGATTAATTTTATTTTAACAAAATCGATTGTAGAGAAAATAAAAGAATAAAAGTTGTTACAATTCCTTTCCTTTGTTATTGTTGCTGCTTTATTTATTTCTAATTAATTTTCTATCATTACTATCAGTTCTAACAGAGATTAACTTTCTGATGATTATAGAAACATGGTAGATTTATTAATATTAGTAGCTTTATTAAATCTGAACATATGTACGTTGAGCTCAAGTCTGTTTCAACACAGTTAGTTGATATGTATCAATCGATTGCTTAATACTTTATTTATAATAAGTTAGTCTTGCATAAATTACAGTAGGGAACAAATATTCTTCACGTTCACAAACTACCAATGTTAAGATAAATGGAAATAATAAATAACAAACGCACGATTAAAAATGATTGCACCTTCAACCTTAATTTTGTGAGGAAGAACATCTTACGCTATAAACTTTTTCTACACATTTTGTTTCTTTATGATAATGACATAATAAATTGAGAGGTGTTGAGTGTTATTACAAAATTTAAAATAGCCATAATATCTACTAGGATTTCATACATAGATTTCTAAAATTTTTCTTTATTTTTGTTCAACCACCGTACGTATTATATGTATAAGGTGTCCCACGCAACTGGACTAACATATAGTGTCGAAACGGTAGAAGGTAGAACAAAATTTTATTGGAAAGAATTAAATGGTTTCACGTGGTCTATGTGTCTTCTCCGAAAGTGGAGGTGTTTCAATGATTTCAAGGTCTTGTGTGTTTTTTTTAAATGGAACTGTACAGTTTTGTATATGCTATTCAAAGCATATTGTAATTCTCTACAAAAGAGTATTTCACTTGGGTCGAAAAATGATTAATTAATAAAAAATAAAATTAGTAAAGTTAGTTAATACGAGCGAAGACAGACAAGAAACGTTCAATCCTATGTCAAATATTATAGAATGTTAAGAAACTGAAGTTAAAATATTTTTTAAACTAATCATTTTTCGACCCAAGTACTTTCATATGTTTTTATAGAGAATTAAAAAATGCATCGTGTAGCGTACAAAAAATGTACGGATCCGTTTAAAAAGACAGAGGTGACGTTGAAATATTCGAAACGTCTTCACGTTCGCGGAAGTCATACACCAGGTAATGCATCATCTAAGATCATTTAATTTTTCCTTATACCAGTTTTTCCTATCTTCTGTCGTTTTATTGCTATGACTTGGCCCAATTGCGTGGGCCACCCCCTAGACATTGAAACATGGCACGATAGAACGTAAACTTCAAAGAAGGTCGATGTCGTGAAAAGTGCCGTGTCAATTATTGCATAAAAAGAAATCGGATTGGACCACGCGATAACAGGCCGGGCTCAATTTGTATGGGAAAGAAAAGAATCCCCTTGAATTTGTTCCCGTAGCCCCCGACAGATATTTGCAATTTCGAAGAGCTCTCGGCTCCTTCGATGCAACGAGCTAACCTACTTCCCGACGATGTTCGCTCTCTTCGTTACAGTCATTCTCATCGAATTTACCAAATTAAATAACCTCTAGCTCTGGCTCGTGGAAACTGTTTTCATTGCGACACGACGTATCTGTCTTGTTCGTATTCCTCTCCCCATTCGTTCGATCTATCTATAGAAAATCTTTCTCTGGGTCTCGCACTTTCTCCTTTTCTGCAAATCCTTCAGGGTTATGAATTTTAATGTCATTTAGTGTTCAATAAACGAATCTTTGAAATCTCCTGAGTGTTTCCCAAATTCCATAAATATAAGAACTTTCAGTATCACAAAAGATCATAATAAACTTGAGATTACTGGAATTGGAGAAATAGAAGTCAATAAAAGGTATGTTGGTACAAATTTTTAATGATCCTCGGTATGCATTGTCATATCGCACCGCCGCAAGAAAAATCTCACAAGTCGAAAACATGCAATTTTTCGGGAGAGCGAAAAGAAACTGGTTCATTGTGTAGCATTTCATCTATTTTTTTTATAATGAAATCCTAGACCTGTCAAGGCCCATGGGTGTAACGTGTCAGACATAGAAATGGGAACTTTGTGTTACATATACAGGGTGTAACAAAAATGTTGTCCGACCCGGAAATGGGGCACTCGGGGGGTGAATTGGAACAAGTTTTTCCTTAGCAACAATGTAATCTGAGGCTTCGTTACCGAGATATCAACGAAAAACCCCGACCAATGAGAGTGCGAGTTTGCCAGCCGAATTCCCGCTCTAGCGGTGGCTACGTTCTGTGATTTGTAGCCAACGCTACCGCGGGAACTCGGCTGGCAAACTCGCGCTCTGATTGGTCGGGGTTTTTCGTTAATATCTCAGTAACGAAGCCTCAGATTACATTGTTACTAAGGAAAAACTTGTTCCAATTCATCCCCCGAGTGCCTCATTTCCAGGTCGGACAACACTTTTGTTACACCCTGTATGTATGTGTGTACATATTTGTATACATTCCCACTTATAAGTATTATTAAGTATTGTTTAGGGGATATTAAAATTCAATGGATAACGCGTGTGATACTATAAAATAATAACAATGCCCTAAAATACATTATTTTTACGAAATTCATATTTCCTTTACTTAGGCCAGGTGTTCTAATACCTACTTATAAGCGGTAGTGCATATTTGTAGCATCTTAACTTCTAATTAATATACTGTAGTATAATATTTATCTGTAGTTGCATAGTCAATAACATATGCCTTAATTCTTACATGCTAGTCTGGGTATTTTAACTTATAACATGAAGAACATACAATAAATTATCCTGTATTAAACGTAGGGACATTAATGCCATCTCGCTTGAAGTATTAAACGTAAAGTTATGACATATTTGTGAAT